TTGGAAGCCCAAGTTCTCGACGAATTACAGCAACTCAGTCAACATTTACGCCACAAGCTCCAGCAGGCTCCGCCCGATGCCTCGTCCTCCATGATCGCAGAGGGTGCCTCGTATACGCTACCTACAAGCGCCTTGCGCCTCACAACAGCCCTGGATCGCTTGTCGCAGGAACTGTCCATGCCGCCCCCCATACGACGTCTCGATTTTCCTGACAACAAGGTTGCATCGTCCACAGCCCCGACATTCCCTCGACGGGCAAAGCAGTGTCAGCCTCACACGTTACACGTTTGACGCTAACAAGATAAAATAATACTCCATTGTATGTATCGTGTAGGTATCGCAGCGGTTCATCAAATACAACTACTACGTACTTCGAAGTAATATATATAACTCGGACAACAATTCTACTCCATCGATGGTGTTAAGACGTCGTGGTGGGGATCTCGACGTGGAACACATCTCGCAACATTTGGAGGCAGTGGCGAAGCTCCCCCACCGAAAAGTATAGGTCGCTGCAGTACGTATCCATGCTGTCGTACGGAATGCACCCTGACGAGTCTACGTCGAAACACCGTGCAAAGTCCTTGAACACGTCTTCAGCGGGCATGAGGCCGAGCATCACAGATGGATGGCTGGGGGCGTCATACGCCTTGGCCAACACCAGCGGCGTGCAGTCGCCTTTGGCTTCGACTTGCAAGTGGGCAAACACCCGCTTGGCCATTTTCACCAACTGGTCGTCCTTGGGCATGGCCAGACACTTCCAGAATCCGGCCGTGGACGCCCGAGCGCTTGTCACATCTTCGCCACGCAGCGGACAGCGTTGGCGCACGTCGTCCACGAGTTTCTGAACGATCTCCGTCGGCAACGTGACTTGAGCGGTTTGCCCCAGCGCGGCTTGCACTTGGGTGGCGGCGATGGTTTTTCCATACTGCAAGATGGTTCGGCGAACTTGCACGATGGTCACGAGTCCTTTCGATCGCAGCACTTGGCGCAACGCCCCCCACAGTCCATCCACCTGTGCCACGCTGGGGTTGGTGCTCATCATGCTACTGTTCGAAAGTCGTTGGATGACCGACTCTGTCGTGCGTTGCATGGCTTGCAGCGGCATGACTTTGGCTTCGGTTAGTCGGGTGGGGGTAGCTTGCGCTGACTTCGGAGGGTCCACCGTGTGATTCAAGCACGCAGTCACGTTGATCGAGTTGAGCGTTTTGATTGTCCCAGGCTGGTTCATGTACGACTTGATCTGTCGCTCCAGTCGTTCTGGCACACTGTCCGCATCGATTAACGTCGTGTCACCACCTTTGCCGGACTTGGCGAAAACGAAACAAGACCAACTCCAAGCCCCTGAACCAACGTCGTGCCAGG